CAATTTGGTCTGGGCCCGAGGTGGGCTTAATAGCCGGCGACTACTGTATCTCCTTTTCCCGTTCAAACCTTATCGATATATTCTGATTTGCATCGATTGCAATTCCACGGATAATTATACTAAAGTCATCAGAACTACAGAAAGAAAATAAGTAGCAACGCTACCAGACTAAAATACAGTAACTCGTATCCTAAATCTGCACCAGCTCTTCCTTCTGGCCGTGGTGACATTTCTCTACTGAATGATAGTGCGCGTATATGAGTCCGCATGCGCTAAACGTGGCGTCACTTAGGAACCAGTCTGCTTTGGAGGATGAAACCTTCGATAGGTCTTATATATGATGATCTTTTTAACTCCCTTTGTTCCTATCAAGTGCTCATAGTTGTAGGCACACGAGCGGGCATTTTCAGTGGATTTTGCCTCAACGAGTAGTGCTGTGCATAGCTTGAGGTTGATTTCTGTGCTCTTGTTTTTGACTCCATTCTAATTTCCGGTTTCTCCACCTCCTCCCTCTCCCACGTAACTAGGTGGTCACCGTAGAGCCTGGTTACTACCTCCCCGGCAAGTATGGAATCCGACTGGAAAATGTGAATGTGGTCGTTGAAGCACCACCCTCTGTGGGTGCCACCGACACCGCTCCCACCTACTTGGCCTTTGAACCAATAACCCTGGTGCCGTTCCATCCTAAACTTATTGCAGTTGAACAGTTGACGTCGGCAGAAATCGAATGGCTAGATGCCTACCACGGTCTGGTCAGGAGAGAGCTGATGGCTCGCATTGCTCAGGATGCCGGTGGTGATGGTCTTCTAAGTCCCGCTCGTCAGAGGACACGTGACTGGCTTCTACGGCAAACGCAACCAATCAGAGCATCCGCGTGAAGACACACACACACACTTCCACATCAACCAAATTGCCCTTCCTAGTGTTGTTGACTTAACCGGTATTTTTGGTCAAACTGAACCAGTTATTTTCGAATTCTGCCTTTCTCTACGTCTTGCATTACCATCTTTCTCAGCAGACCGGTGCCTGGAAACTGTACATCGGGCTAAATAGCTCAATAGGTTACCTTGCATTGGTGTCAAAGAGTGGAACTTGGCCCTGTCATAAAATTGCCACAAGACTCGATCGTCACCCATAAAACGATACCTCGTCAAAATCCCCAAAGGAGAAGCCAACAGCGAGGGCAGAAAAGTAGAAATGTATTGACGTAATTATTACAGCGTATTCAAGGCTAAACAGGGCTAATACGCGTATGTCCAAGGTCGGACTACAATCGGACCAATCTCATAGTGACCTTGATTCATCAGAATTTGTGAGTATAGTTTCCAAGGTAGTTGTGTCGACACCACGAAGGCTTCCCAAATCAAAACTAGTAGTAGACAGAGTAGGTTGGAACAGCTTTTACTGTGAGAGTAATGAGCTGTATG